ACACCCTTTCCCAACCAGTTGCTACATCGCCAAGCTCTCTAACCTTCATCACCTTCACCCTAAATCCGCCTTTAACGTATATTTGCGTGTCGTGTGTTGTATTTTCCCTTTTAAGTGTGTTTGATTGTAACCTCTATTTGCTTTTGAGTAATAAGATTCAACTTTTCTAATACGATTTTGCTTACTCCTGTATCATTTGTTATCAAAGTTAGTCTAACCCTAGTCCTATCTCAGGATTTCCTAGCATCTGCCTTACCCCTCCAAAATTTTTTTTTCCTATTCCCAAACCATAGCCATAACTTTGACTTAACCCTAATTTTCTCTAGTTGATTTTCAAAATTAGCAACCGCAAATCTTTTTTTTATGCGCCCCTTCACCTCCCATACCAAACCCTGACCATGCTACCTAGGAGATACATGCATGAGCCTACCTGGAAAGAGATACAATGAGCTATCCGCTGTGCGAACATTGAGGATAAAACTCAGTGGGAGATTTCCCTCTATCGTGATTGAGACAGTCGAAGGGGAGAATGGAATAATATGAAGATGAAACGAGAGATACAATACCAGTTTCTATCAGCTTACTGTAGACAGAGTGTTAATGCCCTAGCTTCAGAAGTGGAGGGACAATATCACTGAGTGACCACCACAACTTACAAGCAGAGTTCAACCTTAGGATATTACAGTCAGAGTACGCACAGGAGAGCACATAAAATGACCCCATCAGAAGAAAAACTTATTCAAAGCAGAGAACATGTGGAACCAATCCACATTCTAAATCTGTCATAGTCAGGAAGTATTGCAAGTGCCACAGATTTGGGTATAGTGGACCAGATTGCACAATCAGGAGAGTGATCGCTTTCACCGATCAGTGAGCAATTGAAGAATCAGACAATGACACAATAGATACGGAAGAGAGTGGGGACACAAAAGAGTACCAATTGCCAGCCAGCGAGGAAGAAGCCCCATCGATTACAGTTGAATCCAAGAGAGAGATTCCAGCTGAGTTGATAGTAGCTGTTCTAGAAAGTAGTATATCCGAGGTAATGTGTGTTCATGCAAAGCATGAGGTTATGGTGCCTCAAACTATATTTTTGCAGACATTCGAAGCAGCATCAATAAGAGTAGCATTGGATATCTGAAGGGACCATGAGTTTGAGGAGCCGATGCTAGACACAAGGCAACTTCAAATAAGATTTCAAACTTTGTAGACATAACTTTCCTCCTGAGTTGCCTCTATCGAGGGAAATCCAACTTGTCAAAGATGAGAATATTTTGAGTTACTTTTGGAAGATTATGTCTAGTAGTTCAGTTAGTAAATCAAGTTTAATAATGTACCTACCATCATATGGCCAAACAGGAAGGATGAACCACAACTTTGGAAATTGTCTTAGGAACTTAATGGGGACGAAAATTTTTTAATGGGATTTAGGTCATAATAGTGAAAAAGTGATTTTGTTCCAAGGTTAAATCCTCCTTACATACATGTTTACTAGATACATTCAGTCAAGTACAAGGAAGCGAAGCGGAAAATTACGAAACTAGTGGCTTGAGAGTTATTTTGAGAGAATCTACGATTATATGCAACTACACATATAGATGTTTATTCCATCATTGTGTGATTTGGAATGATAATGCCAACATGAGTTACTAACCAGGACAATACAATAGCTCCACCACTTTCAACATGATCGACCTGATTACTATCACAAGATAAAAGCTTCGACAGATAAGGTTGAAGCTCCCTCAACCCTGGG